CTAATTAGCAGGTTCAGTAGTTAGCCATGACTTCAAATGAGGTTTCGTCCTCACATCCAAGTCGGCAACCACTTTTCCCTGGAACGGTTTTGAATGAGGAAATCGTCTCATATTTGGACCAGCAGTCTCGTGCAACGGTTGCGACTTCGGACGTGACCCCTTTTTCATGTCCAAGCCAGCCCGATTCAGTATTATCTCTGCCACTGAACCAGACTTCCCTTTCAAGTTCTGGTAGAAATATCGTTTTGCTCGCACCATTTATAAATTAGGTGCAACTTGGTCCGAAATCATCCACGCAGAGCAATACCGCTGCTTTGACTAATATCGCGAGTTCTACTCTTCTCCTTGGAAAGAAGAATACTCCGAAGTGACTTGACAGAGATATTCAAGAATATGTAGGCTTATCTGGAGTGGATCAGGGAGTGCTCTTTGAGAGGCTGCAAATCATCACGAGAGAGTACCTGTATAAGCTGAAGAAAATGTGCAGGAGACTAGCGGTGCGTTCGAATTTTTCCAGCAACACGGTAGTTACTACGGGGAATAAGTTATCACAGGAGCTGGGGGAACTAGGGAGCGAATATGCTTTCAAGAAGGAATTTGATAAGCGCTTTCTAAACTGAGGTCTCTCACCTGAACACAGGGAGAAGATATTTTTTCTTTCTCTCCCCTTGCAGCGGCGAAGACAACTGAGAGGGGCAGAAACCGTGAAGAACTTCTAATAAAGAACACTTGCAGTGGTAGGGATTATCATTTGGGATAACTACCAATGGAACTAAGGACGCTCGATTGGCCTTGGCTATCTCCTGTCTTGTGCAAACTGAACTGAACTGAACTGAACTGAATCTAATTTTTCATTATTGATCGCAAAAGAAAAAGGGATATAGTTTCCTCGGATCAACTGAAATTTGCCTACCCCTGTCTCCTTTGCTATTCTTTATTCCTGCCCTCAAATGACCCTCCTGTAGATTTTAAACCCTTCCTCTGATCTTCCATCAGCGAAAGCACTTCTAGAGAATCCAACCCTATGAATTAACAGCTCCACAGTTTCTTTTACATCTAAATACATTGAATAACGAATAAGGCGTACATGCAGTCGCCGTAGAATTACCATTACTATTTCGCCTTTTTCGACGTCAGAAAACAATTTGAAAAAAGGCATGAAATTAACAAACTCAGGGAAACCACAAAAAAATCGCAGAACTGAAAACAACAGAAACAGGCATTTTATGGTGTTGACGCGCTATTGAAGCGTTTGTTTCGTGCGCGTTTTTGTGTGCTATTCGTTTACACGAGTCTGATGGTTTTTTGGAGCCAGACATGCTACTCTGAATATTCATTACTTTGAGACCTTTCAGCTAGTTTACTTGGCACCTACTGAAACAGTTCTGCTGAACTTTAACACGGACCGCTCCTTTTTTTATCGCAATCATGACATCTAAGACCAGGAAGAAGTATGGAGCCTGCTACCATAGTGTTACGGGTCTACATCACTGTCTTGCGCTTCCCTCACCGGTCGTTCGACATTGTCCGAAACATTTGGCTGTCCTCAATTAGACGGTTCGCCACCCCCAAACCCTTAATCAATTGAATAGTTACTCGTTATCGAACTGTGTGATGTGCAAAATACTAACCACATGATGAAGCCCTTCTGCATATTGTGTCACTGTCTGCACATAGAACTCAGACGGATTGCTTGTCTGTTGCTCGCAACCGTTGACTGTACAATTAATTTGGAGTTTGGTTTGCGATTGTATACTATGGTCAATTTTCTCCTAGCTGGAGCGTTACTGTTGTCGCTACATACAGGTAGGCTTTGCTTTCAGACAGTGTTCACACAGTCTTTCTGTGTTTTGTTTTCGCCTTGCTTCCACCCCTAAATCCCCAGCGTTTAACCCCTGTCGGTCGAAGGCTTTCTACTGTACCGTTCTTGAGGAGAGGGGATGATACAGGGGCTTGAGACAGACAACGTAAGATGCTCGAGAGGTATCAACATCTTCAGTCTGTCTGTTTCGCACGTATGCTTTCGCATGGTAGCAAGCACTGATTGTTTGGAGGATTCGCTCGTGCACGTTTCTCCTTTTCTAGCATGGATCCTACTAGGATTGCCGATATCCCGATGTTGCTTCTGTAGCCGGGTCTTCAATCTTTGCTTAAGCCAATACCACCTCCGGGAAAGTTTCTCCACTTTGAAGGATTATGTGTTCCTTGCTACACCTTCGCTTACTAAGCCTTTCGCTTTAGATACTCTCGAGCGTAGTCAGACTAAAGTTCTAGTGCTTTTAAGGGAACAATATATTTTCCCTTGAGCAACTGATTGTTGTTCCTACTATCTGCTGGGTTGTCGAGACTCACGGGATATTAGAGACCGCTTCCACAGACCGTAAGGTAGCATCCAATCTCTAGAGGTGTAGTTAAGCGGCAATGGTTAAGCACCTAAATGCAATAACACAGTAAAAGTGTGTCACATGTACTGTGTGGATTGGAACGGGAACCAACATATTTGTACACCTGAGAGGAAATTCGTGCACAGTAGAACACAAGCAGCAAATAAAAACAGAAAGTGCTATCAGAGTTACGGTCACAATTAGGTGCGAAAACAAGATTAACAGAAAATGTCCAGGTGAATCGCTTCTTTTCTTCGTAAAATCATCACCACTAAAATAATTGGACGCAACTTAGAGATTTCAGTTATATCTCACCCGATGATTTGAAGGCACACAGAAAGGTTAGATCTCTGAAAATATTATGCACTTATATTTTAAAAAAATGCTGGATGTATCTATGCATCTCCGTTGTGTTGAGTGTTCCCGTTGGTTGATTTCTGATGATCTTGCTTTTCGGGGGTTTTGTCCCCAATCAGTTTGTGTTGAAGATTGTCTATTGCACTGGATATCTGTGAGAATCGCACAATTATAGATGTGAAAATGATTAAAAACCCACCACTGAATTGTCAAAATGTGTTATAGGCATTCCGTACTTGATCAAGCGCTTTTGACAGTCAAAAAAGGCTTGGAGTGCCTCCTCGTGATTTTGTGAAGATATTTCAATGCAGTGATTGAGTGGTAACACTGGGTTTGTTCTACACCGGAAAAGAATAAAACACACCATTATATATAACTTCTACGGGAACTACTGTGTTCAGTCTGATGAAAAACTGATCGATTTACGGTAAAATGTTACCACTCTCAACCTGCTCAATACGAGTATTGAAATACGAAGTGATGAGACGATGCATCAGTGTGACGAGCTTCCATACTATTTGTCAAGCTTATGTTTTGTAACTGTGTCTGACTGCGAATGCAACTGAATGCTCTAGAAAAATTTTTTCAGCATGACCAAAGTCAGAAGCACAAAGCTATAAATCGGTTGGAAAGTGAGACAAACAATTTCGTTAGTGTGCTGCTTCACGTTTTTTCTGACCTGCGATCTAATCCAGATTAGATCGCACCGGTTGCATCCCTATGTTGTTTCTCGGTTTATAGTGGATCTTCAATGAAAGCCTAGACAATTGTGTTAAGTGCTACTTTTTGAAATATATTAAAGATGTTCTGTGAATGAATTCATTCTACGTACTTTTCAGCGTACGAATACGCTATTTGAAGTTAATGAAAACTGTTACTGAAGTGCGTTGATTTGGCTCATTACTCGTCGCACTTTCCCGTTACACAATTAAAGTGACCACACTGAATAAATTCTGAATGGCGATTATTATATTCTATAAATATTTGGTAATAGATCAAATAAATATACTAATATTGTCGGTTTGCTGCTTTCACTTATGAAAACGACACGAAATATAATAATTTTAGTTTAGGTGGTGAATGTTTGGATTAGTCCATTCGGTTTTTCATAGGAACCAGGCACTGCTAATGATAACTGTCAACCGTGTAGCTCAAGGGTAAGGGTTTGAAGTCCCAGCTTGAAGAATCGCGGTTCGAGTCCTAACAGGGACACAAAAAGGTACACACTGCTGACGAGTCCCAGACAGGACGAAACAGCTGTCCAGTGCTCTTTGTTGGTTATCAAAAATATTTCCATCGCATGTAAATAATAAAATAGGATCATAAACGCGCGTTGATACACTGAGCATCATATTAAATATCGTTGTATTTGTGAGCAAACACGTCTACTATAAGATTGATAATGCTCTCATATTAGACGCTGAATAATTGGTGCATTTTGCGCAACCAACAAAATCAACAACAACAATCAACAAAATCCGTTCCGATCACGGAATAAAAGAACTTACGAATCCAGTTTACAAGCAGACAAGTTATTTTGACGAGCCGCATCAAGATCTTCAAGGCCGATATAAGCCAAGGCCAATAGTCCATGAAGCATACCCTCGCTATATCCAGTTCCTTCCGTGACGCCTGACTTTGGCCGTTTTGACGGATCACGATCCGTGTTCGTTTTATCACAATTCCTTTTTAGATGAATACTGGTATAGAGCATTTGGGCAGCACATGCGTACTGACCAGTATGAAGTGCAACAATACCTCGATTGGCAGCAATTATCCAGTTTAATGGGTCCAGATATGCGGCTCGCCGCAAACAGACTAGGCTCTGAAAAAATTGAAAAGCGTAGATAACGGTCATCAACTTGGCTTATAACGAGTGAATGATGCCTACTTTCACATTTAAAATAAAAGCTGATGGTTCTTTGATTTTAACTCTGTTATTCGTGATACCCGACCACATTTTCCGTTCAAGGTTACCTGTAAGGAAGAATTGTTCCACGCGAATGAGAAAACTATTTGGGAGAAGACTTTGTAAACTAGTCTAAGATATACATCAAGTGCATACACTGTAATGCAGCTGAGAAAAAATAAAGTGAATTGGAGGTAAACTCATTGAGGTGATAGCAATGCCAGCTGATGACTAACGGGATGCATGCAATCACGGGTCTACATTGTAAATCATTTAAACGTATCATGAATCTGTGAAATAATAAATGTTCCTTGGCTTTAGATGAAAAAGAGTTGAAAATTAAAAATTTCATAGAAATTCTACAAATTATTTTAAAAGCTCTTATTCTTTGTAGTTCGTTTTTCATAGTAACTACTTTATATGCATTTATATATATATATATATATATATATATATATATATATATATATATATAT